CCCCCACAGACCGTTACAGAGAAATTAATTAATCAGCTAATTGGTTAATTAATTAATTATTAAAATTTATCTGTAACGGTCTGTGGTGTTTCTGAGTTCTCTGTAGCGGCCTGTGGTGGTTTCTAGAGACTTCATGCATCATAATACAGACTGTAACAGAGAAGCTCCACAGGCCATCAGTGATCGTGATAGCCGAATTCCAGAAAAGAAGTTTCATCGTGTTTCACATTTTAATGCCACAGGGATTGCGCTAACAGCTTTTATCAACAAGTAAATCAATAAAATCTGATCTTGATATTTTTGATTGTTCAGCAAAATCGTTAATGACATCATTAATTAGTAAAACTGATTTTTTCTCTATTGAAACCCCAGTTTTTAATTGCCGTAGGTTATATTTATTGTAAGATTTTAAAAAATCGTATTGTTTTGAATTTGTTTGTTCTTCGTTCTTTTTTTCAAATTCCTGTTTTAATTTTTCTATAAACGGAATTAGTAAATGAGCAAAAGCCTCTCTGAGTATTTTTTCACTGGATTGTGTTCTAAAAACAAAATAAAACACTTACTTTAAATCAAGAATGTCTTCCCAGGTGAATGAATCCGATATCGAATCTGATCGGATCTTATAAAATCCGACGAGTCGACAAAGTCCCTTGAGATTCCGGGTTGGGGAACTATTAGGGGTGATATCTTCATCATTCTCTTTATTGAGAAAGCGATAACTGACTAGCTTAACAATAAACAAAAACAAAAACAAAAACAATCTACAATGCACACACATCTTCTCCTTCGAGAAGACAACACCGATAGATGTGGCGCATGACTAGATCAAAGAAAAGAGATAGAAATGAAATAGAGTGGAACGATGTAAAGGGCAAGCTCGTAACAGGAACTACTAACGGATACCTAGTGTTGGAGTCCGGTGAACATCCGATCAAATCCAACAACCGAATTTGATAGAAATTTTAGGAGTCGGATTCCAACGAGGTCCTAAAGAAACTTATCGGGTTTTCACTGGTCCCTGCAAGAATCGATTGGATTCCAACACTAGGGATCCGTGAGTGGGTCCGCAACCCGAATTTACTTAGATTCCTGCAGGAACCGATCGAAATCCGATCGAGTCCGGTTGGATCCAAGTATCGGATTGTCCGTCCTGGGTTTACGCAATTGATCTAATTCAGCACTTTGATGATCAAGTTGTTTTTCGTTTAATAATATAATATCGTTTTTCATTTTAATCATATCATTCTAGAATACAAGACAGGAATAAAACATCGATTAATAATACTAAAAAAATAACGTACTGATAGTCGAGAGCAACAAGAATCATTAGTAGTAAGAATAAGATAAATTTTTTCTTTCTTAATGGTATTTAAATCAATTAATTCAAGTAGATTTTTGTTATTTCGTTTAATGCTAGATCTTTATGGCTGATACCTTCTGTCATTTTTTGACAATAATCTTCAATACGAATTAAACAAGTTGAAGGAAGATCGTATGAATCTTTACAAATAAAAACTAAATAATTGATTAAACCAATATGATTTTTTAATGTCATCTGTTTCACTATCTTCTATTAATGTTAAACTAATTTCTTTAGCTTTATCGAATTCTTCAATTGATTCAAAATACATCGTATTTAATGTTATTAAAACAGGGTTTCATTTTTGAAGATGTTCTTCTAATCGTTCGAAACATTGATGAGCAATTGATGGATTTGAAAAAATGTAAAGCTGATTTAAATATTTGTTCAAGTATTAAAACCACTCTTCATCACCTAATGTTGTTAAATCACATTTAGATAAAATGTTTGCCCATAATTCCACTATTTCATCATGTGAACGATGATCTTCATCACGGTATTCACGAAGTTTTTGTCTAGCTGATTGCATTTTGTTTTCTAAAGACAATGTCGAATTTTTGTAGAACAAAGAACAAGAAAAGAAAAACATAAATGGATCCAATACTTCAAAATTTGATAGGCTACCAACAAAGGCCAATACGATTAATATTAAGATTGGAAGTCGATAGAAAGAGTCATCTATTAAATATTTCGATCTTGACTAGATTATACAAAAAAGTGTAATAACCTTTTAATATTTCTTGAAGGTTTGGGTGTGTGTGTGCATGTGGCGTTAGAAGAAAACATTCCTATCCACACCCACACCCCAAAACATTGAGATAAAAGAACCATTTTCGATAATTTTATTAAGCAACTTTAGAGGTCCATAGTGTGTGTATTTTGTGTAAAAAAATCAGAAACAAAGCATGAGTAGAACAAGAGAAATATGAATTTCAATCTTGTGCAAAAACTTTTCGATCACCGGTTACCATTTATTAATAATGATATTCAACGGATGTGGTCTTTAATTACTGGAACAGGAGAAAATTAAAATTTAATGAAACATTGTCATAACTAGCTTGTATTGATGTTTTTTCACAAAAAGAAGCTTTATTATTTCATGAAAATACAAATAATTTCGTAATCTATTAACAGTAGGAAAATTTGTTCCATGGAACAATAAGAAATTTTATGCAAGAGGGAAATTGATCTATGGACTAGGGGATGTGAGTGTGGACAAATAGAACACCCTCACCCTCACATCCACTCACACCCACCCACACCATTAGAGCACGTGTATGAATTTTAAAATTAGCTAGGATCTTCATGCGTACATTTATTCTGTATTGTGAAGTAAGTCCTTTTGGAACTCTTGACTATATATCAAAATTTATAAGAATCAGAGTATATGACGCCCAAGTTTCGGCACCACAAAGTGCTCCACTGGTAAGGTTTTCGATTGGTTCGTTCGCATATAAAATAGTTAATGTCTTTTCAATACTCAGGCAGATTCACTTTCATTCAATGATCTGAAGCCACGAGTATACGAAGATGGTGGCTGTGAGTAAACTGTGATGTCTGCATTATTACCAGGTACACCAGTTCGAGCTTGTATCGTTACTCGACTTACATGAGTCAGACAAGATGGATAATCATCCGTCAAATCGTTGGTAAGCATTGCTAGTGGAAAAAAACAGAGCGCTAGCGTAATCATAAATGCTGAAAACATTAACAGGACCCATTTTTGTTTCGAATGTATCAATGTGTCAATTGTTTCTCGTGCGTCGCCACTATCACTATACACAATCAAAAATATTATAATGACAAGAATAATTATAAATGGTAAGAAGAGAACAATGCACCATGAACAACAAGGGACAATATAACACCAAAATGATTTGCAGCAACCCCCGCTTTGTCCTAGGTGTAAACGACGAGTGACAAAGTGTGCAAAACGAATGAAAAAGATAATGACTTTTGATAGTAATAAGTGTGCGGAGTATCCAAGTATGACTCCTTCAAATAGTGTACTTGCTTGAAAATAGTACTGAGCACAGTCAATATTATAATATGTGAAATCGTCGATCGATATATTGCTACTGCAATGATTTACTATTAAATCAGGTTCTCCAGATACCCAGCAATCGTAGTATGGTTTCTGGTCACTCTTATTATAGATAACCATAAAAGATTCACATGATTCGACGGTGTACTCTTCAGTGAACATTTTTTGAAGCAAAATAGCAAATATGATGACAACTTGCAATGGGAATAAGACTAAATACAAATTATAAAAATTCCCTTTCACTGTAGGTAACATAAGAGTATCATGAACTCTGCAAGCCTTCTCGTCATTAATAAGATCTTCGGCGTTCTGCGAGTTTCGACGTACAGCAATTTGATTTGTTGCATGACACTCTTGTACCTCTTGTAGTTGGGAAGCACTTAACAGATGTGCTAGATTGTTACGCATTTTCGACCAATTAGGCAAACTATAAAGAATACTCGATGTTTATATGCTACGCATGCGACCATTCTTCAAGGTTATTCCGAACCATTGTTTTATCCACAGGTAGGGATGTGCAGTGCCGGTATACTGACCACCGACTTGCACCGACAGTGTGTCCAGCAAAGCACCGACTACACTGGCATTGTGGTCACAGTAGAGGACTGGCTACGCTGTCATCGGTGTCACTGGCGCCGAGTTCACTGAGAACATTGAATAATTCAATCAGTGTTCATTGAAGCACTGAGGGCTAGAGATACACAGCCTTACACTATGCTTTTAAAAATGACATTTTTTTGCCATAAAGACTTGCGCTACATACGAAATTTTTACATTCGTTTTGACCAGTTTTCATGGTCTATCTGAATCAGCCGTCAAAACCCATCAACTGTAAAAAAAACCTTTCGGGCTCGGTGTGGAATCGGTCAAATAGTGAAAATTTAAAGATTTTTTCGACCGATTCCAACTGAATTACAGATTTATCTTTCGCATTAGAATATTCCTGGGGATATATTTGAAGAGAGCGTTCAAAACTGAGAAGAAATATATGAAAAATCTATCAGAATCTTATAACTCCAAGTTTTTTCAGTATTTCAAACGTTTCTCAGAAATTCTAGGAATCGGCTGGAATTGGTTTTTCTCTGGTTGCAAAACAATTTGCTCAGCCTCGACACTTGACATACTCTGATAGATTTTTCATATATTTCTTCTCAGTTTTGAACGTTCNCTTTTAACACTATTCTCTTCGTTTTCCGAGCTGACGGAAAACGCCGCCGTTTTTTAACGTTTTACATCGTTTTTGTGCCGTTTCAGGCCGTTTACGGGCCGTTTTCTTTCACCTGGGTATGCCTCATTTTGTATGCTCTATCGAACCTAATAGCTAATTTCAAAATCTAAAAATTTTCGGCAACCGATCGCTACTGTTTTGGTGGTGATCTCGCGGACTCTCTGTTAAAGCGCTTACTTTTCGTCCCCAAAAATTTTTAAAATAACCATCACTCTGTATCGGAATCAAACCGACACACTATAGCAACTTATGCTATAACACTCAAATCCTGTTAGCAACAGAGTGGTCATTTTTCCAATCATAGCATGAACAAAGACTTGAACAGACGACCAATCAATTACAAACCGAACACAAATAGCTCTGAGCTAAACACAGCTCGAACTTGGTCCTATATTCATTAATCGCATCATTAACTTATATAACACTGCTTGTTGGAGCTTTGCGAATAGAGCAGCTATATTTTCTCTTCGTGAAATATAAATAGTATATTTATCAAAAAAAAGAAGATAAATATACTCTTGATATTCAGAAATAATTTTTTAATATTAAAAGGAAAGATTACAGAACAATAAAATTCACTCTGTGATGAATAAATTTATAAATATGTGGCATAATCGCACTAATTTGCACTTTTTGTGGGACTCACAAATATTTTCGAAGAAAATGGTGAGTGTAA